AGTGCACAGTGGGAGCCGCTGCTCGTTTAATACTGCCCGCAGCCGTGGTTTTTGGGGGTGCCCCGCTCCCCTGGGGGATCGCAGTCACGGTCGTGGTAATGCTCCTGTTTTTCCTGTATTCCTTCCCTGATCTATGACACATTTCCTGTGTATAATGCCCCACCCTTCTTCCTGAGTCAGTACTTCCTGTGTCATGGCCACAGCTAACAGGCCACATGTAACAGGGGCACGTGTATTCTGCACAAATCTCGGGGGAAATACAGATATAAAAATCTCTCTGGAGACTCGTCACCGTCATCCTCATCCTCATCATCCCCCGTCATCATCATCCCCCGTCATCATCATCCCCCGTCATCATCACTGAGCGCAGACATATAAAGGCAGCGTGTGTGGGGAGGAGCCCTGTGTGCGGTGCGTGTGGACGGCGCTGCGGCACTTCCTCCTCCTATCCGTGGTACGATGGTAAGGGGCGGCTGATGTTGCTGTTTGTTGTCATTGCGGATAGTTCCCACCTGCAGAGAAGTAGTGTGAGAAAGAGGGCGGCCCATCCCCCATTCTTACCCCTCCTCCCCCTCTACTACCACCTCCTCAGCCCCTCCCAGTTCCATCTAGTGGCCCCACCCACATCAAGACCCTTCCTAGTTCCATCCACTGGCCCCACCCACATCAAGACCCTTCCTAGTTCCACCCACATCAAGACCCTTCCTAGTTCCATCCACTGGCCCCACCCACATCAAGACCCTTCCTAGTTCCATCCACTGGCCCCACCCACATCAAGGCCCTTCCTCATTCCATCTACTGGCCCCACCCACATCAAGATCCTTCTTCGTTCCATCTACTGGCCCCACCCACATCAAGACCCTTCCTAGTTCCATCTACTGGCCCCACCCACATCAAGACCCTTCCTAGTTCCATCTACTGGCCCCACCCACATCAAGACCCTTCCTAGTTCCATCTACTGGCCCCACCCACATCAAGACCCTTCCTAGTTCCATCTACTGGCCCCACCCACATCAAGACCCTTCCTAGTTCCATCCACTGGCCCCACCCACATCAAGATCCTTCCTAGTTCCATTCACTGGTCCCACCCACATCAAGACCCTTCCTCGTTCCATCTACTGGTCCCACCCACATCAATACCCTTCCTAGTTCCATCTACTGGCCCCACCCACATCAATACCCTTCCTAGTTCCATCCACTGGCCCCACCCACATCAAGATCCTTCCTAGTTCCATTCACTGGTCCCACCCACATCAAGACCCTTCCTCGTTCCATCCACTGGCCCCACCCACATCAAGACCCTTCCTCGTTCCATCTACTGGTCCCACCCACATCAATACCCTTCCTAGTTCCATCCACTGGTCCCACCCACATCAAGATCCTTCCTCGTTCCATCCACCGGCCCCACCCACATCAAGACCCTTCCTCGTTCCATCTACTGGTCCCACCCACATCAATACCCTTCCTAGTTCCATCTACTGGCCCCACCCACATCAATACCCTTCCTAGTTCCATCCACTGGCCCCACCCACATCAAGATCCTTCCTCGTTCCATCCACTGGCCCCACCCACATCAAGGCCCTCCCTCGTTCCATCTACTGGCCCCACCCACACGAAGACCCTTCCTAGTTCCATCTACTGGCCCCACCCACATCAAGACCCTTCCTAGTTCCATCTACTGGCCCCACCCACATCAAGACCCTTCCTAGTTCCATCTACTGGCCCCACCCACATCAAGTGGCGTGACAATAAAATGACTGTCAGTCATAATGGTGTCACCCCTCCTCCAATGGCGTCACCCGGGTGCGGGCCACCCCCCCTTGTGACGCCACTGCTCCAGACCCCTCCGTATTTCACCAGCTAACCCCATCCACCATAACACACCTCCTCTTAGTTTCATGACTCCTCCCCCATCCACCTCTTCCGCCGCCCCTTACCTGATGTCATGAGGCAGACACGCCTGCTCCAGATTATAATGCAACACAGCCAATTTACAGAGAGTCTTCAAGCTGGGATCTGCAAAACAAACATCATCAGAGGACCGCGCAGAGACCTCCGGGAGGACAGACGGACCGCGCAGAGACCTCCGGGGAGGACAGACGGCCCGCGCAGAGACCTCCGGGGAGGACAGACGGCATCACACACCCATGCCCGCCATCCAATGCCACCTCACACACCCATGGCCCCCATCCAATGCCACCTCACACACCCATGCCCATCATCCAATGCCACCTCACACACCCATGCCCACCATCCAATTCCACATCACACACCCATGCCCATCATCCAATGCCACCTCAAACCCATGCCCATCATCCAATGCCACCTCAAACCCATCATCCAATGCCACCTCACACACCCATGCCCACCATCCAATGCCACCTCACACACCCATGCCCACCATCCAATGCCACCTCACACACCCATGCCCGCCATCCAATG